GGAAGTTCCTTTTGTGTCTTGTTCTTCAAATACACCTGTTTGCTCTTCTTTGTGAATGAGTCTTTTATGTAAACATTTCATGCATAGCTCTTTATTTTCTATGTCTGACAATTTCAGTATCTGCAGGTCTTGAGTGGGTAACTGTTATTTGATGATTCTACTCTCACAGTGTGTCACCTTTTTTAAGGCTTTGTTTAATGAGCTTACTGCTTGATTTTAATCTGTAGGAATTAAATCCTGTTTTCTCCTACACACTGTTTTCCATAGTGGTTGTACTAGTTTACATTCCCACCAGCAGTGTAAAAGTGTTCCCTGTTCACTGCATCCACACTAACATCTATTTTTATTTTTTGATTATGGCCATTATGGTTTTGATTTGTATTTCCCTGATCATTAGTGATGCTGAGCATTTTTTCATACATTTGTTGGCCATTTGTATATCTTCTTTTGAGAATTGTCTATTCATGTCCTTAGACCACTTTTTGATGGGATTTTTTTTTTTCTTCCTAATTTGAGTTTGTTGTAGATTCTGGAAATTAGTCCTTTGTCATATGTATAGATTGTGAAGATTTTCTCCCACTCTGTGTTTACTCTGCTGACTGTTCCTTTTGCCATGTGAAAGCTCTTTAGTTTAAGTTCCAGCTATTTATCTTTGTTTTTATTGCATTTGCTTTTGAGTTCTTGGTCATGAAATCCTTGCCTAAGCCAGTATCTAGAAGGGTTTTTCCAATGTACTCTTCTAGAATTTTTATAGTTTCAGGTCTTAGATTTAAGTCCTTGATCCATCTTGAGTTGATTCTTGTAAAATGTGAGAGATGAGGATCCAGTTTCATTCCCCAACATGTGGCTTGCCAATTATCCCAGCACCATTTGTTGAATAGGGTCTCCTTTTCCCACTTTACGTTTTTGTTTGCTTGGTCAAAGATCAGTTGGATGTAAGTATTTGGGTTTATTTCTGGATTCTCTATTCAGTTTCACTGCTGACTTCTCAGTTCCTTAAATACCTCTCCTCCAATGATCTTGTTCTCTACCTCCCTCAGGAACTCATTCATAAAACAATACCCAGATTATCTCATTATCAGTAACTGTGACCTTCTATAATCTTAATTTCATGCATTGCACTCTCTACCACCACCTGTCTTTCTAGCTCACTCCCCCTGGTACCACAACATCTCTATCTATCCTTCAGTCCTACCTCCAATCCATTGATCTAGCCATCTTGATACTTTATTCATCTTCCTACCCAGTCTGTATTTTTTACTGAGGTAAAATAGACATATACAATTTACCATCTTTACCATTTTTAAGTGTATAGTTCAGTGGTAATAATACATTTCTATTCCTTTTGCTCCTTCATGTCCCCCACGCCCTTCCCCTTCCTGGCCTATGGTAACCACCAATCTACTATCTTCATCAGATCTGCTTTTTTAGCTTCCACATGAGTGGGAACATGCAGCATTTGTCTGTGCTTGGCTTATTTCATTTAATGGCCTCCAATTCCATTCATGTTGCTGCAAATGACATTTCATTCTTTTGCATGGCTGAATAATATTCCATTGTGTAGATATACCACTTCTTGTTTACTTATTTATCAGTTTGTGGCTATTTGGGTTGTATCCATTTTGGGGCTATTACAAGTAATGCTGCTATGAACATTTATGTGCAAGTTTCTGTAGAAACATGCACAGAAATGGAATTGCTGGATCATATGGTCACTCTGTATTGAACTTTTTTAGGAATTGCTAAATTGTTTTCCATAGCAGCTGTACCATTTACATTCCCACCAGCAGTGTATGAGGGTTCCAATTTCTTTACATCCTTACCAACACTTATTTTCCTTTTCTTGATGATAGTCATTTTAGTTGAGTGTGAAGCAGTTTCTTTTGTTTTGATACGCATATGCTAATGACTAATGATATTGCACAATCTTTTTGTATGCTTAAGGGCCATTTGTATTTCTTCTTTGGAACAGATACTTGAAATATTTATTCAAATCTTTTGCCCATTTAGAAACTGGGTTGTCTTTTTTTATTGTTAAGAGTTCTTTATTACTCTTTAAACTAGACCTTTATCAGATAAATGATTTGTAAATATTTTTTCCCATTCTGTGTGTTGTCTTTTTCACTTTCTTGATAGTGTCTTTTAATGCACAAGGCTGCTTTTTAGGTCTTAGTTTCGATATATTCCAAATTATTTTTTCTTGTTTGTTCTGTTGGTGTCCTATTAAGAGACTGTTGCCTCATCTAAGGTCATGAAGATTTACACTTGTATTTTCTTCCTCTAACAGTTGTATAATTTTAGCTCTTACGTTAGGTCTTTAATCCATTTTGAACTAATTTTTGTGTTAGGTAGGGTCCTGTCTTAGTCCATTTGTACTGCTACAACAAAATACCTCAGACTGAATAATTTATAAAGAACTGAAATTTATTTCCCTTGGTTCTAGAGATTGGAAAATTCAAGATGAAGGTGGTGGCAGAATTGATATCTGGTGAGGGCTGCTCTCTGCTTCCAAGATGGCACCTTGTTGCTGCATCCTCTGTAGGGAACACTGTGTCCCCACATGGTGGAAGGGACAGAAGAACAAGAGTGTGCTTCCTTCAACCTCGAGCCTTTTTACAAGGGTGCTGATCCCATTCATGAAGGCTCTGCTCAAAGACCTCCAAAAGACTACATCTCTTAAAACTGTAGCACTGGGGATTAAGTTTCAACATGAATTTTGAAGGGACATCATCATTCAAACCATAGCCTATCTAAATTCATTATTTTGCATGTGGATATCCAGTTGCCCTAGAACTATTTGTTTTAAAGACTATTCTTCCCTCTATTGAATGGTCTTGGCACAGATACATGAGTTTATTTCTGGAATAGATTCAATTCTATTCCAATGATTTACATACATCTCTCCTCATACTTAAGACCACTTTTATTAATGCATTGTAATTGTTTACTTCCCCCATTAAACTGTGAGTCCCCTGAGATCAGGAGCCACATCTTTATTCATCTTAGTATTTTTAACTCAGCATTTAACAGACTCTCAAAACATTTTCACTGAACAAATGAAACTAACCACTTAATTTTGAGGAAAATAAAGGGAATGGAGTCTACAATAAAGTTGGTTCCCTTTCCCATGTAGTACTTTACCTTATGAAGTGGCTTGGAAATTCTGACATCCTTTCGCCATTACTCAAATTAGCAACTATTGATTCTAACATGTAGTGAACACCCTCTCATATGGAAATATGGGCACCACAAAGTTTGCAATTGAGAAAAAGAGATAATATCATGAACCAAAATAGCTGTAATTAAAAACAGTTAAATATTGTAAGATAATACAAAGGAAATACTACCGGAGTTAGAGGGGGCAGAAATCACTGTCAACCAGGATATCCATGAGTATACCAATCACTCACCTAGTCTTCCTGAAGGGTAATTAATACTTCAAATTCAATGCCAAAGATTTTTTTTTTTTTTTTTAAAGAGGAGACAGGGTTTGAATTTTACTAAAAATGTAGTTTGGGGATTTTGAATTTCTTTGAAGAGAAAGACCAGCTATTCTCTTAAAATAAATCCCTGGGGCCTATTGAATTGTTTTCGTTTATTTGACATATACCTCAAAAGTATAACCAATACTATTGTTTAAATTAAAAAATTAACTTAATTCACAGAGGACTGAATTCAGGTGACAGAGAACAAGACTTAGGCATCTGAAGTCATAAGTCTGAATATTTTAAGCCTTCCTCATCTTCTCCACCCAATTATTACTAAGCTGAGTTTTTCAAAGTTCTTATTATTAGTTTTTTAGAGGCAGGGTCTTGCCCTGTTACCCAGGCTGGAGTGCAGTGGCATGATCACAGCTCAATGCAGCCTTAAACTCCTGGGCTAAAGTGATCCTCCTACCTCAGCCTCCCTAGTAGCTAGGACTACAGGCATGCACCACCATGCCTGGCTAACTTTTTAACTTGTTGTATAGCTGTGGTTGTGCTATTATGCCTCAGCTGGTCTCAAACTCCTGTCCTGAAGTGATCCTGCTGCCTCAGCCTCCCAAACTGGTGGGATTAAAGGTGTGAGCCACCACCCCTGGTCTAAGTTGATTTTTAAGAAAGACACAATGATTTTAAAGCTTGGATATGAAGTTTTTAAAGAAAAATATACTACTAGAAAGTATAATATATAAATTTAGTCTATGAATTGTTCTTTTTCCAAATCTGGTATCAGAAACAGATGAATGCGAGATGGAGGACAATATAGTGTATTAGGAACATGATCTATACAAAAGGTCGGTCAATTAAAAAAAAAAAAGGAACACGGTCTTTGGAGTCAGACTGACTTGGAATAACAACAGTTCCTTCAGTTAGGAGCTATGTGACCTGAGCATTTTTTGGTCTCTAAAATGTATTGCCTCCTTCAGAGTGGTAATAAGGGTTTAATTAAGATGACACATATAAAACATCCATAAGGCAGGTATTCAACAGTTAGTAAAGGAAAATATGGGTTACAAAACCAGAGGCCCAGGACAGTCATTCTCTGTAATCAGAGGGACCAGAGTTTGGGGTCAGACAGACTTAAATCAAATTGTTGCCTCTGTCAATGTCATGTGTGGTCTTGGCTTGTGGTTTCAAGCAAAAGGGGTTACCATACCTATTTTACTCATCCTAGGTTATATATTACCCCAGGTTGAGAATATAAGCCCGTTTAAATCAGTCACAGAGTGAACACCTGACTCAATATAATACCTGCTTGCTTTGCAGTCCAACGGATGAGAAATTCATTCAATATCTAGCCATGTGATGTGATTTAGGGTATATTACATAACCTTTCTAATTTTGCCTTCTCATCTTTCAAGTGACTCCTTTTGCCAAAGTAAGTATATTTCAAAAACTTTTTAAGGTAGCAAAACTCTGTTTGTTAAAGAATTTTCTTAGTTATTTGCAATAAAAACAGCCTGCAGGTCTGTAGTGCAAGAGTCCCATTTCATGACAGGAAGAAACAGATTAACACTATTTTAGAACCTTTCATAACAGACATTCAATACCTTTATTATCAGGGGAAATAATTATCAATCTATAACATTCCCAAAAGTACAACTCTAAAAATGTCAGTTTTGTTCGTATAGGACTCAAAACTTTAATGATATACCCATCATACAGCCAGGAAGCAGAACAATCCCTCAAGAAAAAAAGTACAAATGCCAAGATGCTCTCCAACCACAATTTTTTTAAATCTATGAAACAATTTCCTTACAAATTAAGTAGTTTTTATAGTAGTGACATTTATCATTGATGTGATCTGTTTAATATGACTGTAGTAAGAAGGAACTTGGGCCTGTTATTGTTTTCAGAAATTGAAAAGAGTACCATCATTAAGATAAGGAAGAGAAGGATTTGTATCCATCTTTTTGGGACATGTAAGATGAGAGTGAAGTATCACAGTTGGAGAATTTGTGGCTATTGCTGGAGGAATTGGAGATGCTCTCTAGTAAGCGGGTAATCCCTCTTCCCCGAACACTGCTGTTTTGGCCAGAAATTTTCGCCCTAGATGGGTAGTCACCTGGGATATTGAAAATACGAGAAAAGAAATATAGCAATTTTATAATTTTATTACAAAGAGATGCCTCGATTAACTGACTCATCCTACTCTAGGCCTTTCACTAAGCCATAATTCAATGGGTCAACAATAGAAAAATGTTTTTGTTTTTAGCCCAGGAAACTTTTAATTGAAATTCTTTAGGTACCACTTGAAATTTCATGTCACGAGCTTTTAAAGTGTCTCACCCCACAAAAGATATCATTAAAATCAAAACTATAAAGCTATTGCCGCTACAAGAAAAACAAGTTTTCTTTTAAATGCCCTAACAAATTCTGACAAGTTACAATGTATCCAAGTGACCCAAAAATGTACATAGCTAAACTGTTGAAGGTGCTAATGCCAAATAAAACCCTCAATTCAACAAGTGCCTTATATCCTAAAGCTAATTTAGATATCACTGTTTAAATACCACACCCTGGGATCTTAGTAATAGGCTCTAACATCCTTTAGGTGCATTTTTGTAAAATATAAGGTGCTTACCAATGGGTGTGTTTGATCTTTGTTCCTGATTAGCAGAGTTGAAATGAGAGAATCCTGAACTCCCGACCCTCAGCTTCTGTAAGTAGCAGGAAAATACCAGGGGGAAAAATGTTTATTTCTTATCAATTATTGGATGGTCTGTCTTCAATTTCAAATTACTCTCTAAAAATGCAAACTAACACTCAAATACTTTTCCAGTGTCTGATCAATTTTTGCTGCAAAGACGGGGAGAAAATAGGATAGACTTTGGAGGGAGATAAGGAGTTTCAGGGTAAAAAAGGGTTTGCTTTTTTTTTTTTAAAGTGAGATTATAGCACGTTTACTGATAATGAATTAGAACAGAGTGAATCCCTGATGATACAGGAGGGGAAAATTACTGAAGCCATGTCCTTGAGTTTACGGTAAGGGAAGGAAATCTAACATACACATAGCCAGATTGGTTTTAGATAGGAACACAGAAAATTCATTCATTAAAATAGGAATAAAGCAGAGGATATGGTAGATGCAGGTAGATGAGTCATAGGAATATGTAGAAAATCTCTCCCAATTGTTTCTATTTTCTCAGAGAAGTAGGAGGCAAAGGCATCAGCTAAAGCAAAGGGAAGAGATGATGAAATCTGAAGGAAAAAGGTGGTGAGAAATAACTGTCTAGGAGAGTAGGAAATCAGTCAGACTAGAGAAATGGGTATCTGTCAGGCAACATTAAAGGCTCCTTGAAGTTGGTGGTGATGAATAGTAAGATCGGTCAGCATGGTAGTTCCTTTCCAGGTGCATTTAGCTTCACAGGCATACGAGGAGAGTAGGTGAAGAGTTAGATGTAATCAGGGTTAGTATCTGTCAAGTATGATGAAAAAAAGAGGGCCAATGGAGTTGACAGTGCATGCAAGGCAGTGGAAAAGATAGGCCAAGGAATCTGAGTTGGGAAGGAAGAAGGTGAAGGGTAGAGACAAAGGTGGCAAAGGAGGAGACATGAGGCTACAGCATTACTAGCGTGAATGGTGCCCTGGAGTTGTGCAATGAAGTGGCCCTGTAAGGGAGTGCAAAACAGTGGAGGCATAAATGAATTGTATATCCCAGTAGAGACTAAGTAACTGTTGGCACTGGGGTACTAGAAGATGGTGGTAGTCTGAGAGGGGGATGTTTGAAATTGAGATTATGAAGGAGATACCACTGGGGTCCAGGATATGATTGTTTGGTAGAAGGATTATTGAAGGAGAGGAAATCGAACTGAGAGGTTAGGCAGCTGGAAGGACTACGTATAGGGAAATTGAAATAAATAATTCTGATGGAAAAACCAGTTTTCTGGATCGGTGTTGCTCTAAGAATGAGGGGAACCAACTCAGGAGTCTACTGACTCCAAAAAGGGGCCATTTGGAGTCTACTGACTCCAAAAAGGTACTACATCTTGGATGGCAGGAATTTCAATGCCTAGGAATTTTGGGGAGACTGTATAAACAAGTCTGGAAGCCACAATCAAGGACAACTACTTCAAATATAGGCCCATGACACATGAAGAAGAAAAAGATATCACCATTTGAAAAGGCTAATAGAGAAGCAGTGTCCTTAGAGGACGGTCAAGTTTTAGTTACAACCAAGAAGGTAAAATAGACTTTCCCCCAAAGAGACTGATGATATCTGAAATTCTGCTGATAACTAAGGCTGAGAAAACTGACAGGAAGGTTTCTTAGGAATTGGGGAGGGCTGGGAAATAGGACCAGCCAAATAAGATGAGTCTGGGAGATGAGAAAGAATCTTAAGACTCCTAGGCTTCCTATAGTAACTGATGTAAACAATGAAAAGTCACATTATTGAGATTAATTCTGATGATGTGAACACAGATGGCGGTGATGAAACTAAGGTAGGGTTTCTCAACCTGGGCACTAATGACATTTTAGGCTGGAAAATGCTTTGTTGTGGAAGGCTGTCCTGTATAGATAGAGTGCTAACAGCATTCCTGGCCTTTATCCACTAAATGCCAGGGGCACCCCCTCCCCAGATGTGACAACCAAAAATGTCCCCAGGCATTGTTAGATGTCCCACGGACGACATGAAATGGAGTTGAGAACCACTGGGTAAAAGGTTTAAAGGGAGGGTAGAGAAGGGTCTTGCCCAGAGTACATATGGAGAGATCTGAAGTCCTTCATTTTTATTTTTAAATTATCACACAGTAAAACTTTTTTTTGGTGTACACATCTATGAAGTTTAATATTATGTACAGACTTGTGTAAACACCACAATCAGGATGCAGAGCCATTCTATCACCTCAAAAACCTCTCTCATGCTCAATCCCTTTACAGACACCCTGTTCCCACGCCTATCCCCTGGGAACCACTAATTTGTTCTTGTTATAGTTTTGTCTTCAAAAAAATGTCATATGAATGGAATCATACAGTATATTCTAAAGTACGTAATTTTGGACACTGCTTCTTTTGTTCAGCATAATTAACTAGGATGAATCTAGTTGTTTTTATCAGTAGTTCTTGCCTTTGAGTTTCCTTTTCACTAAATGTTTATTGTAAAATAATAATATTTATTTAATATCTATTAAGCTCTAAGGCAGGGAGGCCTTGGCACTGTCATATATTGCTGCATTTAATCCTAACAAATACTAGCCCCCATTATTGTTCTTGTTCAATAAATAAAAAATTAGTACAGAAAGTTCAAGTATCGTGCATAAAGTCACAAAGCTTGTATGTAGCAGAACCTAAAATAAAATTCAGGAATTCTGACCCTATAGCCCATACTCTTAACTGCTATGTACTTAGTGGTTTAGAGGCCTACTAATAAGTAAACAGCAGAGAGGGAAGGAAGGTGGTAGAAAAATTAGATAGCTTTTAATCAAATCCTAAATCAGGTCTTAAACATTTTTGAAGTAGATGTTCAGAATATTTATATTACTTACATTCAGATATTTAATTTTTGGAATATATCTTTGGAAATGTTTTATATAACGACTAAATACTGGTTTTAACTTTCTTAAAACTTTGTTAAATTGGTAGGAAATACACTAGAAAAAAAAGAATTTTACTAGACGCAACTGGATTAGGAACTGTTTGACAGTCCATGAAGGACTTCAAAATAATGTTTAAGGGGAGGGAAAGAACCAAACAAAGGCTTGATCTTTTACAGCTGTTGGCCAGAATCACATTGAGTAGAACAGCTAAAGAGACCAGCAGCTCTTAAAGTCAGGTTCTTACCTGGTAACGCCCTGCATCCAATACAACCATTTTGGGCGTCACACTATTGCTGGCCTCATAATCTTGTAGTGGTACATGAGCCTCTGTGAGCTGGATTCCAAAGAGAGTGGCCAGAGAATTACTGATGCAGTACCTTTAAAAGAAATAAAAATCTCACTATCAGAATCTCATTTAATTCACCTAAAAGTATTTGTATTTTAAAATCTCTAACAAAAAGAAAGCATCTGAGATACTGTTATAAACTGGGAAAAAATAAATTTGGCAATTCAGAGAAGACATATAAATAAATAGCAATACATATAATAAAACAGGTTATTACTGGTAAGCAATCTTTTTTTTTTTTTTGAGACGGAGTCTCGCTCTGTAGCCCAGGCTAGAGTGCAGTGGCCGGATCTCAGCTCACTGCAAGCTCCGCCTCCCGGGT